CGACTCCGTGGTCACCGCCATGATAGCTGCCGGAGCCCTGACAGCTGGCAGCGTTCGTGTTTCGCCCTCTCGTCGTTGGGGTGGGTTTGGTGATGGACCCGCCCTTGTGGCCACCCGGTCAATTCGTCTCACCGTTAATTTTCTCCATGGAAATAGAGCTACCGCTTCCTTGGCGGTCTGGGCCTGTGTTGTTCCAGGCGCCGCCATGGGGCACGCCGTGCTTCTGGGTCGTGATAGCTGGATGCGCTTCAACTCTCGCGTGTTCACCACCCTCCCCCACCCTGGACCGGACGGCCGGGTTATGGGCGAACTCACGCTCTCTCCGCGTTTTACAGCTGGCGCTTGCGTTAACGCTACACACGACGACGCTCCTGCCTCCTCTTTTCACNGGGCGAGCTCACGCTCTCTCCGCGTTTTACAGCTGGCGCTTGCGTTTACGCTACACACGACGACGCTCCTGCCTCCTCTTTTCACCTTCAATATGCAGGGAGCTTGGGAATTTCTTTGGGGCCGGAGCCTGCACTCGTTGAGGTGGACCTCGTTCGTTCTTCTGGCATGCCTGCGCTGATTGGAGAGTATCTGGTATCGTTCAAACCCGAAGTGGGTGCGCTTTCGTCCCCAGATGCGTTCGTTTCAAATGGTCTCCAGCGTATTCCCCTTGCAGGTTGTGCCGAGCTCGAGCCGGGAGACGTAATTGGAGTGTCTGCCGCGCCGCTACTACGAGTACCGGTGGAAACCCTGAAGGCGGCACCATCTTCGATTCCTACCGGCCCCACAACATCTACATCACCACCTCGGGTCAACGCCGTTGGCCCCAAGTCCGGGACTCACCGCTCTCCGGACCCAGCCTCCGCCCCGCCTCCTCCGAAGCCGCCTCCACAAGAACTACTTGACCGCTTCTCTGAGGCACAGCGCTCCAGATTCACGCGCTTGTGGGTTAGGCTGCCCGCACATATGCACGGCATCGCTTTCGATCTACACAATCCGGGATGGACACCGGAGGCTATTGATTCTAGGCTGCCCGCACATATGCACGACATCGCTTTCGATCTACACAATCCGGGATGGACACCGGAGGCTATTGATCGTTTGGCCGACGCCCTTGTCGAGTATTCTGACGTGTTCTCTACTTAAAAAACCGATTTGGTTCTTGCACCATCATGCCGTTCACGCTTTCTGTCCCAGCAGGGACGAAGCCCGTTGCATCACGCCCGTATCGTATCAACCCGTTGATGCAAAAGAAAGTGGATGCCGTTTTGGACCAGTAGTTGGCGGCAGGGCTCATTCAACATTCCACATCTCCGTGGGCTTCTCCTTTAGTTGTCATCCCCAAGAAGGACGGATCTGTTCGCATCACCGTCAACTACAAACGTCTCAACGCTCTGGTGGATTTGGATGGACAACCTCTCCCTCGAGTGGACGGTATCTTGGATTCTCTGTACACCGGGAAAGTGTTCTCCATCTTCGACCTCAACTCGGCTTTCCACCAGATCGTTTGTGATGAAGATACTGTCCCGCTCACCGCCTTTTGCACTCCCACGCAGTTGTTCGAATGGCTTCGGATGCCGCAGGGCGCCAACGCAAGTCCGTCTTGGTTCGTCAAGGTCATCAACAGAGTGGTGCACGGTCTGGAGCGTGTGCTGGCTTATCTGGACGATGTCATCTGTTTCGATGAGGAACCTCTGGGACACGTGCTGAACTTGATCGAGTTCTTCAAACGACTGCGACAGTACAACCTCGAACTGTCTCCAGGG